ATACATAGAGTGATAATATCTCCCTCTGAAATACCAGAATTATTGTATTGAATCATCGCTTTATACTTTTGATGTGTAACTAACAATTACTTTACTACAGTAGTATAAACAACAAACAACATGCCTAAAATACAGGAACTCATTTAAGTACTTAGTTTAGGCAACTACACTATAATATTAGGCTATTAAGATTTATAGGTACGGTTATTTACACAGGTTGTTTTTGGTACATTTACCGTTGGGTGATTTCAAACCGTTTCGTCTGAGCCAACAAGTGCCGCGAAAATTTTGTATACATGTTCGGTTAGGTAGTATTTTGATTTATTTGTCTTGTTCGTGTTATTTGTATATTATGTGATAAATACGTTTTTCTAATGAGGCTGACATGGTCAATAATGAACAATGACCGTCGATAAAAAGGGGAAAAAGATTTAATTGTGTATGTATGCAATGCAGCTTAATGTTGATTGTATGATAATTAAGGTTCCTTTTTTATATTGTTTATTTTAGTATCATGATAGAATCCTTTACCTACCTTGTTTTATTTGTTAATTAAATAGAGTTATCCTTATTTAGATAAAAAGTTTTGCAATTGTAAGTAAACATATAACAAGTTTGTTTAATTTTTTTGCTTGTTTTTTCCGAGTTCCGAGACTTCAGAGGGAGGTATTGTCTACTCTATATGTGTTACTTGAAGATTAGGTAAATATACTCTGCCTATTCCACTTACTAACAAAAACCAAAATACCCAGACCTGGGAAATGTTCGTTTCCTAATAAACTTACAGGAACCTCACTCGAGGTCTCCTCGATATATATTATATATAATGAAACAGTCGAAAATTTCCATTCAAAACTATATTTTCACGTTACTATTTTCAATACGGAAGTGACAATTTTAACGGGTTTCGAAATTATCAAGGTATTTTTATCAACTTTAATAATTATCAGATAATTATCCGATGAATATTCATGGTGTCGTGCCAACAATAAAATGCTAATGCTAAGGCTGGTTTCAGAGTAGTGCGGATTTATCTGCGGACCGTCCGCGCTGGGCACCGGAGCGTAGAAAGGGCACGTTCCCATTATGTCGTAACGTTTATTTCATCGTTGAACGACTGTCGTGTCTAGCAGTTTCCATTATATCGTGACGACAATTTATCGGTTCACGGCAGCCGCCTTGTCGTTTGCACGACAGAATCGTTTGAAGCTGCGATTATCTGTCGTCACATTTTTATCGTGACGTTTTATTTATCGTCAGACGGCTGTCGTTCTAGCTCTTCCCATTGTTACGACAGCTTGTCGTCGTAGCGTCAAAAAAGTCATGAACGACAGTTAATCGTGTGAACAACTTCATTTAAATATACAAGCCACGACACTTTAATTTGCACGACTATCTGTCGTCACTACATAATGGGAACGCGCTCTTAGCATTTTAATGTTCCAATTAGTTTAATGAATATCATGATAATTCTTAAGGTATATTTGTCAAGACAATTATCGTGATAATTATCATGATTATCATCAATAATAGTTATCACTTTAAACTCTGGTTTTTAAAAACCATCAAATCGTCAAATACGTACCTTGTGGAAGCAAAAACGATTGGAAACCGGTTAAATTTCGAAACCAATATAAATCGATGAATTTAATTTTTTTTCGTCACATTTATGACAAATAGATTTAAGTAGATAGGTTGTGTCATCATTACTATGTGTAGTGGTGTTGCGATCATCCACAACACTAGTAGATTTCCTCCTGAAATTAAGTGGGGCCGAAAAGCAGCGAGGCGAAAAGCAGATTTATGTTCACAGTGGAACGTCGTGTGACTAACGAATACTAGCACAAGTTTGTATTATTAAAAGTGACCGTTAATACTGGATATGGCAGCATGTTAAAAAAACACAATTGAAAATATGAGAAAATATTAAGAAGTATCCATCAAAGAATGTAGAAACAAAATAAAATTAAAAACTAATTACTAATAATATAATAACTAATAATTGTTAATAACGAATATCAACGTTTTTCACATTAACATATTAGTGACGGATACTGGTTAAAGGGGGGTTCAACTTACATAATTCCATTAATACCGTTAAGGTCCATAAGTGCATTAAAACATGATGAATAGGGAGACGAATGGAAACGTATATAGTAACGCGGTTACAAGCCTTCTTGCGACTTCAATTCCCTTTCGCCCACGTGATGTCGACAGCCTCGTCTTACGGTCGCTGCTTTACTCTTTTTCTCTAAACCAAGCACGCAAGCATATGTGACAGTAACAGTTTCGGAGTTAAACCGGTTTTTTCTGTCCACACTCCTGTTCTCTGTCCGAAACCATTACTGTCAAATATGTAACACTCGATCAAATCAAAAGACGTATGGTGCGAATGGAGCTTCATACATGACATTAACTTTTTACTTATTTTGACAGTCATTTGTTTCGGACGGATGTCGGACGGAGAAGGAGTAGGTTAGCACCTTTTTTAACCGGTAAATTAACGCGCGATAAATTAACCGGTAAGTTAAAGAGCTATAAATTAACCGGGTTTTTTCAATTGATTCTAAGTCCCGGGTTGAATTGCAATGGTATAGAACCCCTTCAAATTATTGTCCCATGTGACAATATAAATTTATCGTAATCTACTGTGTCAAACCTTAAACAACCCACTGCTGGGTAGGTCTTATAGTCAGGGACCGAAAGAGCATCACAGGAGTTTTAACACATGCAAATTTGAATATAAAGAAAATGCAGAAAGGTAGAATAAATAATATACCAATCAATAAGAAAAACGTTAAACTCTGTCGTATTTGCATGCGTTTTGTGTTCAATTTTGCACACACATTAAATGCCTGTTTTCTTTTTGGTCCCTGCTTGTATAAAATTTTTGCAACTATAATTGATTGTACTGGAACCCCTAGGCACAGATGTACTATAATCATACAAAAGCTTCAAAGAGCTTACTATGTGGGCGCTTTGTGAGGAATCGTCCCGTTCAATCAGGAAGTCACAGTCAGTGCAGTCGGCCGAACTCGCCTGGCTGCTCTCCCCGTTCTGGCACGCACATCTCTTCTTCATTTCTATACATACTTCTTATTCGGCTACTGCAAAGTGGCCGTATATAAGATTCCTTGGTAATTTTATTAATATAATTCCCTTATTTAAACATTTAAAAAGTATTCATTTTGTATCACTCGCTATTACAATAAGACATTACGCAGGTGCAACTATCTTTCATTACCATCAAGATAAAATATATTATGATTATGGCTAATACTAGCTGATGAAAGATAATTAAAAAATAATTTATGAATTTTTTAATCAGTGTAAAATTCATAATATTTTTCAACCTTAAAAATACTCAAAATAATTTATTTATTTGCTTGAGGACAATCTCCAGATGTTACAATACAAAACTTCACTTGGAAATAAGAAAGTATCCCTGGCATTTAATAATCTACTAACCTCATACTAAAATGTCCTTATTAAAAGTGTTCTACAATCATGAGCAAAAAGACCACAAAACTAAAAGATTAGTTGTAGTTGACTGCAGTAGATATAAGTCAAGTAACTTATGATCTTCAAATTATAGTTAATACCATTGCTTAGCAAACAACACTGCTTAAGTCTAAAATCGGTGTATTTTACTTTTGAATGTTACTTTTTTTAAATCTATTTTTTATTGAGGCCACTTTGAGTGACTATGTCATGGGAGGAATACTGGGTTCCCTAATCAAGGGCCATGTTGAAAAAATTTTACAAGTTTAGAGCTCCAATACATACAGGCTCTCTGAGCCAACAATTAATTTATCCATTGCATAAACTTACATTCCCAAACATTGTACCCCTCATGTAACCCATTACAGTTATTTCCACCAATCCATAATACAGATCCTCTATTTTATTGCAAGTACTGCACAATAGGAATGGTTTAAAACCCATCATATGAAAGAATGTTTTAGTTGGAATGTGACCAGAACGCAGAACTTAAATCAAAATGAAACATGATTATCATACAATTACATATTAGGTGCACACGCAAGACTTCTGTGCTACAATGTGAAAACACAGCATCTCCAAGCAAGCCCACCTCTGCTGTAGCTTCAATGGACTTCTGAGTTTGTTTATAGACTTGTGGGCTCCCCAATGTTACAGTATTAGGTGCAGCTCCATACCACAATATATTTTTTATTTCATTGTCAAACCTACTAACACTAGTGTTAAGAGATTTAAAAAAAAAAATCTAAAATACTTTTATTATTATTATCCATAACTGACAATACATTAAAAATTTTGTTAATAATAATATATGTAGCTTTTACACTCTTCTTTCAAATTACTCAAAATGATGTGAGCAGTGTTGTTTACCAAACAATAGTAAGTTGTAATGATTTTTTAAAATTAAATTTTAAGCAAAACCAGCTTTTAAATTTAATTGGCCCATATTTGCCAGTGAGTTTAGTGCAGTTAGGATATAGGATTTAAATTACAATACAAACAAGAGAACAAACAAAACAATCCTCGTTAAATAATGTTCTTAAAACAATTACTTATATACAAAAGAAATGACAGGTTTGATAAAATTATTATTGTCTTCAATGTGATACTCGTTGATATAAATACAATAAACTGTCTGTTATCATACCTCGGAATCACTATCGTCAATAAGAAAAGTCTCCTCCATTGCCTAAGAAACTACAAATGAATTGAAATCTATTCAGAAACTATTTATTGTTCTAATACACATTCACTAGCAGAAAATCCAATTGCTAACAATAAGACTGGTCGTTATCAGAAACTAGCGTCGTATTGCCTATTGACGCGCACGAGTCAACATCAATCGTAAAGAAAAATTATGATTGTATGCAAATGAATGATTAAACATTAGCGAAGTAACCGCGATATATTGGCTCCGGCACACACATACCCTCCGGCCATGTGTCCCTACGTGTTACGGCAAATCTTTTAACAAAACAACAATAAAAAAATTAACTTACAGCTAGTAGTCAGCCTTTGTGATAAGCACACGTTTTCCATAGAATTTTGACGCGCCTTCAAAATTTAAGCTCCATCATTACGATGTGCTTGATGGAGCTATTCACAAATTATCAAAATTACGGCAAACAGTGATTCTATTCGCTTTAATTACACTAAAATATGCACAAATTCAAAGTGTTAATTCACTGATGCAATTTGACCAATTTGACGTGACAACTCTGACATTTTTTTTTGACATTTCACGTTTAACCCCGTAATCCTGTTTGGTATTTTCTCAAACCGATTCCAATTACGTCTACCGGTTTTTTGACGTTTGAAAAGACAAATCGTACGTGTACATAATCACTTAATCTGGTAACACCTTTTAAAAAAATATTCTACACGTCACCTCGGTGTGTTGTCAAATTCGTAACTTTTCTTAATTTGATGTAATTTTGCAAAATTGCAGCGAATTCATAATGGTATACAAATCTTTTCGTGCTTTCAAATAATTTTCTTTAGTTACATTCCACAAAAACATAAATACTAGCTGAAATATGTAGAAAATCGCCAATTATTGTATCCGGCTTCCAAGTCTGATTAAAACTGTTTTTTTCTGTGATTACAGGTGCTTATAGCGGCGACAGTATGTACAAAATCTGGGAAAGGTTATTATCGTACTGTTACTAGTCAATATACATTCAGAAATCACTAATTTAGTGCAATTTTTTAAGGTGAAACTAACCTTATGTTTTAGCATTGGTCTCTCGTCAGTTTGTCGAAATGACGAAGGCACGTATCGAAGGACTGCTGGCGGCCTTCCCCAAGCTCATGACAGGCGGTCGCCAACATACTTTTGTTGAAACTGAGAGTGTTAGGTAAGTAATTCTTACAGAGATTCCATTTATACATTCCCACCGTGTATCAACAGACATGTGTTTATGTCACCAGAGAGTATCTAAAAATTTGCTTTCTAACATATGAACATTTGTGTAAAAAGTCATTATTTTAACTATTAATAACATATGTACTATATTTCCACAGATATGTATACCAACCCCTGGACAAACTCTATATGCTGCTCATCACCACTAAGGCCAGCAACATCCTTGAAGACCTAGAGACTTTGCGTCTTTTTAGCAGAGTGGTGAGTCTCTCTGTACTTGGATATAGAAATAAATTTAGAACATTTTATGATTCTTTTGTATTCTCATGAACATTGCACAATACAATTTTTATTTTTTATGAGTATCTCTGTAAAAGTAACATCTAATTTGTTTGTTTCACATTTAAACACAAATTAGTTTCAATGACATTTTTTGTTACTTTAACTGCTTTTCATGAACATACTGCAGATGGAAGATGGATGAGAGATGCTGTGTCACTTAATAAAATGATCTTTATTATCTAAGTGGTACCACACCACATATAACAGATAAATCACCATCCTCTCCAAATAAAAGGTTATCTACATGTTTATTACATATAATACATGTTTGGGGCTGAAAAATATTGCAATATAACAAATAAGGATACCATTTCACACAGATTATTTAAAGCTTTGTTTCTTGTTTGTACTAAATTTCTAAATGCTGATAACATTTTTTTTTAATTTTTTTTTTCTGTTTTTACAAGGAAATGTTTCCAAACAGTTCCTCATTACTCTTTCTAAATTTTCCTATGCAGCACATTCTATACTGTATTGATTTGCCAATGTTTTTGTCTATAAACAGGTGCCTGAGTACTGCACCCAACTGACAGAAGTAGAAGTTTTAAACCAAGCATTTAACCTGTTATTTGCATTCGACGAGATCGTCGCTCTCGGTTACAGGGAGAGTGTCAATTTGGCACAGGTTAGTATACTTCTTAATTATTTTTTATTTTGTTTCAATAACGTACTCACGCAACATAGCCCCGCACTAGGGAAACACTGTGTCGCGGGTACCATGGACACACACGTAGACAATCACAAATTACACCCAAGCTCACGAGAGAAATAAATGTAGGCCATATAAATATTTCTCTCAGCCCAGGAATCGAACCTGGGACCTCTGCATGGCAATCCGGCATGGTAACCGTTCGGCCATGGTGGCAGTTACATTCATTGTTCCTTCACTGTTGGGAATCATGATACTGAATTCAATATGATCACAGAATGTATCAATTTTATAACAAACAACATCTCACATACTAACTTTCAGCTCTGTTTCTCTATTTTGCCAGATCTTCAGATCACATAACGAATGTGTCAGTTTTATAATGGTCACAGCTCTATCTCACACACCAAATGGGCTAGCATGACAGGCCGCCGCAGCTGCGTTCTACAAGGCAGCCTTAGCCTACCCTACTAGCCTAAACCCACTGCCTGTAATGCACATCATTAAATTGCATTATAATAATATGCATTTAAGGTCCATTTTAATACTAGTAGAGCTTATCCTAGATTAATACTTTATAACTAACAATGAAATTGGCTTCTGTGCGACTGTATACATCATGAGGCAATCAGGTCTATCAGCTATCGCTTTCAGGATGCCGTTACAGCTCCCGCGCATTCTGTTCAACAGCGAGGCAGTTTTCTTTCGCCAGACTGCATCAAAGCCGTCCACGCGCGCATCTGCGAACATGCCCGAAGCGCTGCAAAAGCGCGAGAGCTGCAACAGTGTCCTGAATGCATTATTAAATTGGACTCGCAGATCATTGTATGATTTTTGGGTATATTTGAACCACAACTTGCCATGTACAGTGATGTACAGAATGCCTTAAACAATGTTATCTTCACTGTATCTGTACATCTAGCAAACCTTCGAACCAACATGTTCGCCCGAACTGACAATGGCCTGCGTTCCCTTTCTATATCTGCATCATCCCTAAGATTCTCGATCGAGATATTTAAATTGAAATACTCTTATATATGTCTTATTATACATGACTTATTATAGATGTGTGCAGCTTTCCTCGACGGTTTCCTTCACCGAATGGCCCATTGTAAATTTGAAATTAATTTTCGCACATAAATTCCGAAAACTCAGAGGTGCAAGTCTACCATTAAGCATCCTCCTAATTGAACGCGATTACGCGAACGTCGCAAGTTCGCGTGAACCTGCGATGAAACTTCCAGTTCTCGAATAGGTGTCCTAATTGCCGTTACGATTACATTGCGTGATTGTAATGTTTGAAATCAGTTCGCGTGAAGTTATTGACATGCGCGTCGCATTACCGCATGCGGGCTCCGCGACCGCACCTTACCTATTTCTGCCGCCAAGCAGTAATGTCAGCATTACTGTGTTCCCGTTTTGAAGGGTACAGGTGCTAGTGAAATTACACACACACACATGGGACTTGTCAACTTATGTCTCAGGGTGACAGGCGCAGTGGCAGTGCCCCTCAGATCTTTGCGATGTAAAGCTCTGAGTGGCACTGCAACTGTTCTGGACAGGCGTTTAGCTTACTATCAGGCGCACGACTTGTTCATCCCGTCACTTGATTTTATAAAAAAAAACCCATGTTTTTTTGCTAGGACACCCGCTTTTTGTCATCGAAGATCGCAGCGTCAATTCGCGCGATGATCGAGTATTCGCGTTCAATTAGGACGACGCCTTAGGCTACCATGGGTTAACCTGGGCCGAGAGAAATATTTGTATGGTCTACACTTACTTATCTCGTGAGATTGGGTGTAACTTGTGGTTGTCTAAGTGTGTGTCCATGGCACCCGCGATACAGGGTTTCCCTACTGCGGAAGTATGAATGTGTGCGCATTATTATTATTATATATAAATATAAATATAAAACGTTATATGACTAAGATAAATTAATATAGATAAATTCTTCTTCTCCTAATAAATAAATTTACAATTTGCATTGTTCCAGGTTCGCTCCTTTGTAGAGATGGACTCTCATGAAGAAAAGATCTACCAGGCTGTTAGGCAGGTATGTCCTGTTATGCTTTACCTGCAGTTGTCATCAACTCATGTCTCAGTGCTCTGTACTGGGTTCCCTCTTCGAAGATGGTTTTAGGCCATTGTACATCACATCATCATCATCTTATTTAAGAGCTAGATTCTTGTCGGTGTAGCCTTGTCCACTCCTCACGGTTCATAGACACTTCTTTAACCTCTTTGTAGCTGTTTACTTTGATCTTATTTTTTATTTGTTCACTATACGCCATCACAACATTCCTTAAAAATTTCTTAAATCTTCTCTGGCGTGCATGTTTTTTTATGTGACTAATGTTCCCCAATAAGGTAAACGCTGAGCTCTTGCAAAGAAACCCGTTCCTTTTGATTGATTTTTAACCGACTTCAAAGAAAGGAGGAGGTTATCAATTCGCCTGTATTTTTTTATGTATGTTATGCGATAACTGTTTGTGAACACTCTTTTCATTGGTCCCATTTAAATTTGAAGAAAATATTCCACCTCTGTGGGTGATAAACTAGGGGATGAATCCTGTTTCGTGTACTTTCCAGGAACCGATTTCAATAGAACTTGGCAAATATATGTAATTCCTCGAACTTTTGAGGTCGGTTTTTTTAAATAAAAATGTTACAATTATTACGATGAATGAACATTAAACGTTCAGACGCAAGAGCGCGAGGCAGCGAATCGCATGCGCGAGCGCGCCAAGGAGCTGCAACGAGAGAGACTCGAAGCCGCCAAGAGAGGGCAGCCGCCACGCTCGCAAATGTCCTTTGGTAAGCAAATGCCATTCAAGAAGAAAGTTTTACCTAAACATCTTGCATTAAGAACTAATAATCTTTCTTAGGATCATCGATTAAAAAAAAAATATTAATAATAGTAATTTAATTCAAGCAATATGGCCCATATTTTTAATTACAATAAGTTCAATGGGACTGGTAAAATGTATTTTGAAACTTAAAAATAATAATAATAATGTGCGTGATAGCTACAAACTTTGCCTGGTCTCAAACTAGGGAATTCCCTGTACTTTGAGTACCAAGAGCATAGGAATTCACCCTGCGGCACTTGACAGTACATCCAGACCAGGGGGTCTTCTCCCTTTCTCCGTCCGACGTCCGTCCGAAACAACTACTATGACATTAAACGGCTACCAAGTTAAAAGATGCATGATGCGAATGAAGCATCGAGTATATAACCAGAAATGGAGACGAAATTTCTAGGAAATTTTCTACTCATTCCGACTAAAATCAGTCTGGCACAGTCACTCCTTCTGCCTATACTAGACTAGACTTGTCTGAGGGCTTGCTCAACAAGATTCATTTTTGGATTGCGTAAATTTAACCATGTCTCAGAATTCCGATCCCAACTTGGATGGTTGCCCATCAATCGTAGAAGGGACTTTCGCCTTTTATCACTTCTGTACTCTATTCTCTTTAATCCCACCTCTCCTCCCTACCTCAAAGATTGTTTCGTGTTTCATAGCACTACTCTCAGTCGCACCTTACGGTCTTCTCTTAATCATTCTTTAAACTACCCTATCCGTTCTTCTAACTTCTATTCCAACTCCTTCAAGGTTAGAAGCATCAAGCTGTGGAATTCTCTGCCTGAATCGATGAGACGCGCTAAGTCTGTTGAGTCTTTCAAAACTCTACTCAAAGCTCATTCTTTTCTGTACTATTCTTATCTGTTTTTGATCGCCCGTGTTGTTATTATTATGTTCTATATATAATCCTACTTCATTTTGTGTAATCATATGTATTCTTTCTGATATTTATTTATTTGAGTATTTTATTTATTTATTCCTATTATTTCTATTTTTATTTTTGTTTTTCTCACTTGTGTATGTGCACATATGTGTTTTAAATACGAATTCTGTTGCGCCCTCAATTAATTATTATCTCACAGTTTTTCCTATAACCGGAAGGTAGCCTGGAAGAGATTGCTATGTAGCAATAAGGCCGCCTGTTGTACCTGTCTTTTTATTTTTGGTATTAATTTGTGTTTGTCCCAGTGTGTAACAAAGAATATTTGTATTGTGTTGTATTGAAATGTCATTTAATTTGTTTGAAAACTATTCTGCCAAATCATTACTGTGACAACTGCGCTTCGATTGGTCAGCCCGAATTCAAAGCAATTGACGGGTGTTGTCGACTGTCTTACTTCGTCGATTTAAAGTACTACACAGTTTTAACTTGCTTGCTATAATGGACGAAAATTGCAAAATTACACATTTAATATTTAATTACCGATGAAATGTGATTCCGTTTGTTTTGTAATTAGATGTTTTGCTGTTTTTCCCACACCACCGAATGGAACAGCCATAGTTAGAGATATTACCTTGATTACAATTGATTGAATCATTGAAAATGAATGATTAGTTGTTGGCGCTGTACTGTATCAGCTTTCTAATTTGTGATTTCAGCGCAAACAAGAGTTGATATTTAAAAGCGATATAAGGTCCGTTTACCTACTGAGTTGCCAGGAATAGATGGCCCTTATTTCGTCTCGATTTCTGGTAATATACATACTCGATGGAATGAAGCTTCATACTTGACATTGTCAATTGGTTGGGTCGAGCACTACTTATTTGACAGTAATTGATTCGAACAGATGTCGGACGGTGAGCGGGAGTTGATACCCTGAAGCAATTTAGAAAATTTTCTTTTCCAATTTGGTCCTACCGGAAGTAGAACTCGGAATCTCCTCATCCAGCGCTCACAGTACAAACCGTTGGGCCACCGAGGTTGTCAATAAGCAAAAAAAGGAATAAGCGGTTGAGAATTTTTTTTCATACAAACAATAGAAAAATTAAAAAAAATATATTTGTATATGTTATGTATATTATATACATATAATTATGTTGTAAAAAAAAGTTGGAAAAAAAATCTCTCTTTTCCAAAAAAGACTATATTTAACGGGAAACGTATAGACGTATAGTTTTTAATCCGTTGATATTTTGTAGAAAGGACGTAAATGTACTTCCGGACCATCGGATATATAACCAGAAATAGAGACGAAATAAGGGCCATATATTCCTGGTAACACATTAGCGATACAGCTCTTATAAATATCAACTCTCGTTTGCACTGAAATATAGACAGGCCAACTTATGACCTGTGTGTATGTCTCCATATATTCCAAAAATATTCTGTATTTACTATAATAAAGATAATATCTCTAACAATGCCGTGCTGTTCTACTCGGTGGTGTAGGTAAGTGTAGGTAAATACGTAATTTTGCATCCATTATAGCAAGCTCAAGTTTAACTGGTCGATTTGAAGTTTAAACAGTTGACGACACCCATTGACGACTCACGTCAATTGTTTAGCTAGCTAATCTAGGACTAGCCAATCGGAGCGCAGTTGTCACAGTAATGATATGGCAGAATAGTTTTCAAACAAATTAAATGACATTCCGTCTCTACTTCTGGTTATATACTCGATGTTCCGGACACATAATTCGCATTTTTGTCTTAAAGGCCTAGAATACAAAAGTAGTGTTATCGTCGAAGAAAAAGTTTTCCCCCGGTTTTGCAAATCCAAATTTCCAACAAGGATTTCTGGAAAAGACGTTTAGTATACTAGTTTCAAAATTGCTTAATAGTTTTTGATCAATCAAACATCGTTTAAATTTAGGGCTAATAATGCTGAAAATGCGAGGTGGCTCGAATGATATATCCGGAAGTGTATATTAAAACAGACGGGAATAATTAAAACGTGCTCTCCTTAAATATTTTTCAAAATGGCGCTTTCACCTTTTCTACAAAACACCGACGATATGGTAATCATAAAACACGAGTTTGATTATTTAATAACCAAAATAGGATCAAACTTTTGTTAGTTTAACTTCATTTACTTTTCAAAGTAACTGTAACGTACTATTTTGTAGGAAGTGGATTCGGCAGCAACACCATGTCTTCTTCAACTTCCACGGAACCTATCGCCGAGAAGTTGCCATCTACACCTGCGCGTGATACGTAAGTTGTTTTTTCTTCTCCTGTACTTTAATTTGTCAATTATAATTTCATAAACCTTATCACAAAGTCGCTCTTTTTAGTTCTTAATCAAAATTCTATTGTCTACGGTACACGCCACTGAGCTGAAAAAAAAAGTTTCAAAAAAAGAACGTCGTATTTATGGTAATTAAAATATCAATTAGGACGCTACTTAAACGCTATACTGCCCCCTGATGGGTTCAATTGGCCTAAAAGTTTTGCAACCGGGCCATTAATCTTTATAAAAAATATATTGGTTAAAATATATTATGCGGTACTTGGCTTTCGTCTACATATATGAAGAGGCCGTATGGTGAACCGTTGCCTAACCTAATAAATGGGTTAAAACTAATTTTTTTTTTAAATGCGTTTTTTGTCATGGATTGTTAACAAAATTACATTAAATATTGGTTCTGTTTCATAATTTTATTTACTGGTAGAAAAAGTAATGTATGCAATCATTACATACTTAGGTCATAATCTCGTACCTTAATACTTAGGCCACTCGGCATTAAGAACCCTCATTGTGTAACGATTGCATAAAATACTGTATTGTGAAATTTTGTTTCATATTTTTTTATACTTACAAAAACAATGCACATGTTTTTAACACTCTTAAATCTAAATACATTTTTACATTTGTTTAATTACCTTCGATTCTAGTCCTTTAGTCCGAAATATTGGTGATAATGATAACATTGATAACACACATAGAAAGTAATAAAAATAAGCAATAGCAATAGCGTAATAGTAAAACATTTTTTTTCTGTTGCTTAAGTGTAGCAACTCCTCTTAATAATTATCCTTGTTACATTTATAACCAAAGTCAAAAGTCGGTCAAAAATAGTTGAGAAAGTCACTTACAGCTCTTTCTTACTTACTGTGCTGACGTTTCTGAGAAGGACAAGCAGGAAACTGTAGGAGTTGCTCCTTTCAAATGAACTTAAATGCTATGGAATACAATTTCAATCAAATTTGATGTGGAATCTAGAGCCATTATGAAGGTATAAATTTACGACAACAAAGGTTACCTAAGCTATCGGTTCGCAGGAAAGGCGCGCTGCAATGAAAGTGGTGAATAACAATAATACAGGCCTACCACTTAACTGAGTCGGTTCCTGAGGTAGCTGCGCGCTGCGGGAGGGGTGACAGTTTATGTAACAGCAATGCTGAGCAATGCGCTCGGGATAATTTCTATCAAGATTTTTCTGTCGATATTCAATAGCAAGTTGATTGAAAAAATTGCCTACCAAATTCATTGATATATCGAGTTCTTAGGTTTTCGCGGTTGTTACACATAGGAAATGAAACTATGTTTTCGAACTTAAATCGCGCATTTTTTTTTAAATAAACCAACGTTTCAGGTCTTTTACAGTACCATGGTCACGGGTGACTGTCAGTCTATATACGCAATTTAGATCCGAAAAAATAGTTTCATTTCCTATTTCATTGATAAATTGAATGAATAGACAAGCCATTTGACACTTTTTTAATCAACTTGTTATTGACGTCAGAAAAATCTTGTTGAAATTATCCCGTGTGCAGTGCGACATAACTGT